AGTTTTATTGTTGTCTTCCCGTTATATAAATATATCGGGCCAATTTCATCAGGAAATTAGATGTCGATAAGACAATACTGGACTTTTCTAAAAAGTTCAGTCATAGTATTTAGACCTCTCCGTTGAAGAACAGATCTTGAGAAAAATTTCTTCTCTGTACAACCCTGATATTGGCTTTTCATATGCTGTATGTCATGTAAATTCAATAGGTAAAATAAGTATTGTATTATTTTCACTCCTGAACGTTCTATTTCAGACAATAATCATAAAGCAAATCCAACTACTGTTCCTTAAATGAAAGTGATCGAGATATGGAAGATCTTTAGACAATCCTGGAAAAGACAAATACAGGCTTTTTTTGGGGTTTTTTTTTTTTTTTCAGGACCTCCTTGGGTCAGTGTGGCCTGAAGAGCCATAATTCTAAACAGATTGGGTTTTTCATGTTATAAAATTCATGTATTTTTTAAAAAATGTATCACAAGGCTTACATCTCAAACATAGACCCAGGAATCTTATAAATGGAAAAGAAAAACAAATCTGTTAAAGTTATAATAAGCAAATCCAAAATTTTTAGATGTATATTAGTCAACAGGCTCTAAAAATCCATGTTTATAATACCAGCCGCGGAGGAACTCAAAACGTGCAGGCTATTCAAGCCATGTTACATCTCAAAAGGACTATGTCTAAATTCACATGAGAGAGGAAAACATAATCTGAGGAGGAATCTCACCCTTTATTATTTCTATCTATTAAAAGAAAAAATTCCACGTGTTAACAACCCAGGATCCACAGTGCAAGGACATGAAAAATTGGGCACTTACTTTGTTCCTAGACTTACTGGTCTATTTCATCAATCACACTGATCCTAAATTGAAAAACCAAACAAACAAACAAATATTGAGCCGTACCCTATCCTGCCCTACCGGAAATAAGCACAGCTAATCTGTCCGAAAACTTCAGGGCTCTGTGCAAAAGGAATCCTATAGTATAAGTTGTATAATTCAGAGAAAGAAATGTTTTTGTTAGGGCCATCTGTATTTGACCGTATCATTGCTCAAAGATAGTTTAGAGAGTCGAGGATAGGAAAATAAAGAGTTTTGTGAAGCAAATCAAGAATGGACGGTAACCCTAACCAACCAGATACGGAATAACAGTCTGCACACTTACTATATTCAATTCAAGTATTTATAAAGAAGTTTCTATGTAGAAAAGGGAAGATTTTTTTAATAGATTCAGAAAAACTGGGTTCCCAATTCAGACTACCCTGTGTGACTTTTGTCATTACCATCTTTTCTGATTCTTACAAAGTAAACCTAATTAAAAACCTCCCTCATTAGTCTTCCAGAAAAATTAGCACAGCTTATGCTAATTACTCCTGCAAAATTTAATAAACTCGTTGAAATGGGAATAGTCTAATGAGGTTTTATTTATTGAACTAAGATAACTCCAAGGAAAAAGGTTAGGACACAAGGATATCCAATGTGGTAATAAAACTACAATTTATTCAATTTCTAAACATGAATTTTATTGCAAACCTTTTAAATTCAAATATGAGTTACTGAGTGAATATGTTAAATCAATCTCCACCTTAATCTAATAACAGCAAGTCAGTTTTTACTTTTCACTTTAACAATAATTACCACATTTACCTCAATGATAATGAAATTTGCTGTTATTAGTTCCTGGTCATCGGTTATTAAACATAACACACATGACTTTTTCCATGTCTATGCAGCCCAAATATCTGGATCGCTGGGCACATCCTGGTCTTTATAATTCTTAATCAAGTCATTTGGCATCAGGCCGAAATATAACGTGACAGTCAACTCCACAGGCACACTTTCTACATTTACAGAAATTTCCTCTAAACTTTTTGGGAGTGACTTGACAAATGGTCACAAATGTAAAAAGAATTTGGGTCATATTTTTCTCACTTTGTGGCATGCTCTTATAAAAGAAGGAAGGCAAAAACCCACGTTCTAAATCACAACATGCAACTGCTGATATTGTTAATTCCACCTTTTTGATAGAATACACCAAGCTGATGTCCCCAAATCACTGGCAGCAAAAAATACAGCCAAATTTTAACACAGAAATAGCTTAGCCTGCACCATTGCCGTATGACCAGAAAACCTCTTCTATCTATCCTATAAATAGTTTTCCTGAATAACCACTGCTAAAAGTCTTTTGACTGATAAAAATAGCAGTGTTCTTCCAAAATCCGAAGGACAAGCCAAGGGAGCTAAAAATTATTGGTGCCCAAAAGGTGACTTCGTGTTAAAACTATGCTAAATCCTAACGCAGTGATTGCCTGTACTTCCAGCTCCATAATTGCATATTGTGTGCATCTTGTAAAAACAGTTACTGTTGCTACTGAATGCAGGCCCCATAACCTATTTTTGCAAAATATGCAGAGATTCACATCCATAAATCTGAAAGCAAATCAAACCCTAAGCACGTAACGCAGATATTATACAATTGGTAATATAGAATCAAATTGGAAACTATGAAATTCAAACACGGTTGCCATCATTTTTTTTTCCTTTGCAGCAATTTTATGGAATTGAAAAATCTTTTCTATTTTGCCCTTCCTCGTGTGAGTTCTTTTCTTGTTGTTATTTTCTTCTCTCATTGTTAAAAATGAAAGTTTCACATATCAGCAGAGACAGGGCTGGAGCTTTTAAAAACCTTTGGCAGACTCAAGGACAAATAAATTCTGAAAACTCAGATGCAAATAAAAATAGCTAAATGGGGTTTTGCATATCAGCTGGCATCACTGCTTGAAAAGACAGTTCATGGGAGACAGAGGCAATCGCCAGCAAATAAACATATGTTGAGGTTTCTGCAGATCCACTAGGTTTCAGCCGGTTTTAAAATACTCCTCTCTTAAGAGAACAACATTGGCTACACACTGTTTTCTACTTTGTCAAACCAAAACGGGAAAAAATGAAAAGGAGAAATGTCATGAGTAATATCTCTCAAGCCACCAACAGTATAAAGTGCATACTTATTTTGCCTAAATTGTTTGAACTACCCCAGCCAAGAAAAGGTTTTAAGTACCCTACTGGGACAGATGCTAAGCGGCAACAATAGAAGGCACACTAATGCAATCCAGGTAACACAATCCTGTTTCAAAAACACGGGCCGGGCTAATTACAGCGCTGCTGAGTCAAGTTTCTTATGCCATCGCAACCCACAAGAACAGGTCAAAATCAAATGTTATTCAAACCACAGTCATATCAACCTTCCATATCAGAGTCACGGCTTAAAACCAAATGAAGAACTTAAAAGCTTAACCCATTCACAAGCAAAAGAAGTGTTTTCATTGCGGGTGGCAAGGTCCGGTGCTTGTCATCATCCACACCAAAAGGAACTGTGCGGCAGAACAGAACGCTGATAGTTTCAAAGTTTGGGGGACTATTTGGGCTGGTCCTTTGATCAGAACACTTTCTTTTTAACAGAAGCATTAAGAAAAACTTGCCTAAAATAACAAATGGTATTTCGAAGAGATGGCTTTAAATAAAACAAACAGCATAAAGGTTATATTTAGTTTTGACCTTTCTCATTTGAAGACTTCTCTTCCATTGCAGAAAAAAAAGGAATTACTCTAATGGCCTGTCTGCTTGCATGGATAAACATACTTTTCTAGCCCTACAGGTGGCATACGACCTCACTGCACACAAAACGTCCACGTGTATTAACTTTGAATCGAGTCTATTAATATAGTTATCAAGCAAAGGTGTATGTTTTGGGTGAATATCAGAGAGAAACTTGGTTAAAATATCTGATTGAAATGTAAGCTTTATAAAGCTAGTTGGTAATCAAAATTGGGTTGAAGCCTGGAGAATCGCATGAATCAAAATCAACAAATCAATGTTTTGACATAAATTATGATGAAGCTGTTTTTCTGTTAACTGAAAAACAATAAAGTAAGCCCCAAAAGTTAAAGAACTGGGAACACAGATATATAGGAGTTTTTTTTTGTTTGGTTTGGTTTGGGGTTGTTTTTTGTTTTTGTTTTTTTTTTTTAGTTTTTTATTTTTTGGTAAAAATCATTGTTACCAAACCTAAAGAGGAACTTTTGTTCAGCTGTTAATTTCCTCAATGAGAGATCAGTCAGTCTAATTTGCAAGACGCTTTTCCAGCTAGTGGAGGGTGCGAGCTCTTTCCCTAGCTGACAACTGACTATATCTATAAAACTTCCAGGCCATTTAACCTCAATGAGTAATGCTATGTAACAAATGGCTTATCATACATGTTTCCATACAATGAATTTCAATAATTAAAATGTAAAATGAATATTTGGAGTGCAACTTCGCATAATATGTGCACACACTGACTCCAAATTGCACCAAACAACTAAAACAGATTTATTGTTCTACAGTGATTTACTTGGCCATGTCAGATTAGTAATATGGATCTGTTTAAAAACACAATAATTAAGACAAGCAGGATAAATTAATCAACCTACAATACAGTATGAGCTACCATCAAACGTCGGGAGATAACAGGAGAAAGTCTTGGTTCACAGGTCTCTTTAAAACTGCTTTTATGCATAAATAAAACCTTAAAATGTAGATGGATTACGTCCAACAGAACTACTGTAGCTAAAAGTGATAATGATTCAAACATTTTTCAAATAGAAGTTAAATATTTATAAGCACCCAACCACATTTCATAAATCACAAACTATTATTATTTTATTTCTGTAGCTTCCTGGCACAGCATGAGGATTGAGCCACAGAAAGTCAGGAAAGAAAAAAAAACATTCCTTTAAGAGCATGAATCAGACACAAAACCGAAGCAATCCAAGAACACGGGCCTCCAAAGAACATTCCATATGGTTTTCCCAGGAATCGCAAAAGCTCGGCGCAGACTCGCCATGACCAACAGGCACATTTCGGCCACGTGCGTTCCTCACCCTGGCCCATGAGCAACACAAGGCAGGTGTTTCATTATAATGAGGAATAAGAATCCAGTGAAAGTAGAGTGGTCCCTACCTGTCAATTATCACTGGATCTGAGGGAGTCTCATTTCGGTTGCCACAGCTCTTCTTGTCACAACAGCGGCTATGGAGCAAAAGCGAAAGGATTTAGTACAACCATTACAATGTAAAATCATCATTTAGGCAGACAGAAGGTTCAAATTGCTGGGTTGCAAATGCTAGAATTACCACAAAGCCATACCTGGCAATCAACGGATCCCTGGGACAGAAAATTCTATGTGGGTCGTCTATGGGTTAATGGCCAGGCTTAACCTCTCCCTGAACAAAGAAGGAGGGAAGAAGAGGGACTCTCCTGGAGCCACGACTGACAGCCCTAAGATGGGGTCTCCCCATCACTGCCCGCACTATTGAAGAGTTCACTGTGAAATGCATTATTATTACCTCTACCCAATGAGAATATTCAGGGTTGTGGGTGGCTCAAACGTTCTTCCCTCAAGATCACACTAATTGTGTGGAACGCGTCAATAATGAGGTATGAGTGATTTCTCCCCCTCCAGTCATTCTGTATTAAATGGATTCCTTTTTCTTCTCCTTTCCCTTTCAAGGGAGACGTTTCCTTCAACCTCAGCCTGCCCAAAATCCTAAAGCTGTAACTGTTTGCTTTTGAACCATTCTCATGAGAATAAAAGTACAACATAATAATGAAGACGAAGAAGAGGCGAGATAAAAGAAAGTGGAGATCCACATGTTGTCTGGCTTCTGTGTCCTGTGCTGGACACCATTTAAGTTTTCTGGACGTATTATGGACAGTTGATCCAAAGGCTAGCACAGACCTCACAATGGAGGCCCTTAATTAGGTTAGAGAAAAAGCAGCCATGAGCAAGAAAAGCACCCACTATCAAAATCCCACCCCAGCTGTGACGAAAAGACTGTCCATTTCTGTAAAACTGGGATGCTTCTGGGGGAGGGGAGCAGAATTAAGGTTTTTTGAGAATTACCCATGGTCAGAGGAAAACTATCCATCTGAGACTTGTTTGCAAATAAAATATGTGCACACTGGTCAGTCTACACCCAGGGGGACACTATAAACCTCGTGTTTGATCAGTCAAGGAAGTGAGGAAGTTATCCAAGGGTTATACGTTAACACGTGCCACAAATAAAATATGCACTTTCCTCCCTCTTTCTTACACAGGCATGTGCACACACACACACACACACACACACACATTTTACTTAGTGAATCATAGGGCCTAAATTTAGAAAGCTGCTGGAGAGAACCAAACATTGAATTGAATTTCATTTTTAGGACCCAGAAATATACTCCTGGATAGAGAGCCTTTCACCAAAGTTGGGAAGTCTCATTCCTAACTATATCTCTGAGAAGAGAATCAGCTTCCAAATTTGGTGTTAATTCTCTTTGTCTCTCATATCTTCAGAAAGCAGTAGTTAAGAACCGTATTTCCTTTGTCAAAGCCCCGGCTGAAGTTCACTTCATCTACCTTTTGGCCTTTCCCTTTCTGATTCAAAGAGGACTATTTTCTTTTAGGCTTATATTCTAAAATACCAGGACTATGGGGCTAGAAAGCCCAAAGTAACCCAGTGCCCACGAAACAGATGAGGAAACAAGGGAATGAGAAGTGCGGTCATTGGAATGCTTGCAAAAAAAAATAATAATTTAAAAACGAAATTCCATCATCCCTTAACTCTAATCCCCTACACGTACATTTCAAGGGCCTGCCAGAAGAGCATGGTGGTTAACAACACTGGCTCCAGAATCAGACAGAGCTACCTGTGCCACCTTAAGCAAGGTAGTCCACCCCACAGAAACTTAGTTTCCTCATCTATACGATGGGACAACCATGGTGCCCACCTCTAATGAGCAGGGTGCAGATTCCGTGCAGTCAGGGTATAAAGCTGGGCTCTGTGACTTGGTCCTACTAAGTGGTGCATGAAGGCCAGCCTCATCACCACTCCCTGCTCCTGCCTCCTCCAACCGCCTCTTCCTCCGAACCTGAGCAAAGCTGCCCCCCAGCTACCCCAGAAGCAGCAGGTCTCCAGCAGCTGCCTATCAACACATCCCAAGTCCTCTTTACCCAGGGACAAAACCAGTGGATGGGAAGGCCTATTTCTCCTCATCATTTTCCATTCCCCCCACTTTTTTTCTCAAACGGTGAGTGGGCCATGCTGGTTCCCGATGGTGGAACCCTCACCGGGTCCTACCCAGACTCAGTGTCCTCCAAGGGCTCGTCCTCCCGGTGATGGCTGCTTCCAAGTAGAATCTGCATGTCCTGCCTGTCTCTCTCTCTCCTCACGGCCATCACCTTCATCTACGTCGCTTTCATTCTTCACTTGAACTTCTGCAGTGGCCTCCCATCTAGCCCTGCTGCCTCCACTCTTTACTTCCTAAAACAGCCAGAAGGCTCTTTTCAAAATGTCAATAGGACTGTATCACTTCACTGCCCAAGACCTCTTAATGGTTTCCCAGTGCACTCAGAATAGATCTATGGTGATCCATGATGCCAGACTACTGTCCAGTCTCCTGTCACTCTCCTCTGACCTGTGAAGCTCCAAATGCACTGGCCAGTTTCAGTCTCCTGATATGCCTTACTCAGTCTGACTTCAGGCCCAGGCCTCCCCGCCTGGTCGGTTCCTCCTCCAGCCCCTCCTTGGTTAGCCAGCCTCTACTCCCTGTTCAGGCCTCAGCCTCTACACTCCCTCTCCAGAGAGGCTGGCCCTGACCCCCTTTAGGTTCCTTCTGGTTTTTTCTTTCAAGACATGTAACACAATGCAAATTATATTCTTACATGAATGTTTGTTTCGTGACTCTCTCTCCTCTCACCCTGCTCTCCCACTAATCTGTATGCTCCATAAAGGAAGAAACTGTCAGTTTTACTTACCTAATGAGTAGTGTAAGGACTGAAATAGAATGAAGAAGCTCAAATATTGATTGATTGATTGATTGATCGATCGGATGACTTCAAGAATGATGTAATGTACTGGGGGAAATACGATCCAAGGAAATGGGAAGGCGACAGATAGGGGAAGTCAAGCGGACCCTCAGATCAGGCACTGCTGACAGAAGGAAGGTTCACTCCCATCCCACCCTTACACCAAATCACCTCCCCCAAGCAAGTGCCACACTAAGCCTGAGATCTGTCCTTTGACTTAAGCACTTTCTTCATCCCCTTAAAATAAAAATGCCCTTGAGCACAGCCAGATGAATTGAAGCACAGCATAAACGAGAACCACTTCTCTCTGCTGGGTCCCAAGGGACCCAGGGGCAAAGGCAGATGTGAAGAACAGAAGTGTAGAAGGAAAGACAGAACAGGAATAAAGGAGGTAATGAAGGAAAGAAGAGAAAACAAAATAAAGGGGCTGAAGGTCACTTGCCATCAAAAAAAAAAAAAAAAGCCCTTTATGCAAAGTATAAAAAATGGCCTCCCCACAGGTTTCTTGTCTGGGGCGTGGGGGTCAGGGGTCATGCCACCGCCCCACACAGTCGTCATTCCCGAACTGGGACTCTTGGGCTCTGCTCCGCACCTAGAGCAGTGACAAAATAGCATCTACAGGATGAGCCCTACTTTAAAGAGATATAGATATGCACATATATGTGTGCACACATCTACATGTATGTGTGTGTATGCATGGTCATACAGCACGATGTGCAGCATTAAAAAGGATGAAGGTGGGTTTTTACACACTCTCGTGGGAAGAAGTCTAAATCAAATTAGGAATCGAGAAAGACAAGCTGCTGAATAGTGTATATGGTACAGTCTTATCTCTGGGAGGAAAAAAAAATGAAAGCATGAGAGAGAGAGTGGGAGGGGGGAGGAAGAGAGAATTGGGTACAAGCCAGTTCACCCCTCACTCCACTCAAATCTCTACACAAAGTCGCCACCTTAAAGAGCCCTTCCTTGGAGAACTGCCCCAGAGCCCTCCCTCAGCCTGTCTCACTTTTCTCCCTAGCACTCATCACATCCTATTTTATATTCATTTTCTTCTATGCTGTCTGCCTCTCCATGAGGACAGGCTCTTGGGCCATTTTTTCTAGGCTGCAGCTAGAACGGAACCCAAGGCACAGTAGATCCTCAGGAAATAGGCTTTGAATAAATGAATAGAAACTTCCAAGAAGTGACCTGTAGGGAGTGGAACGGGAAGTGGGAAGGAATGGAGGGTATATATTTCATTTCCATCCTTCTGTAGTCTTCTGCTCTGTGCTGCAATACTACTTTCCTATTCGAAAACTGAAAACCAACCTTAAATTGGGGAACAAATGTCTTCCTGTGGACTGAGCTGACATCTACCCACCCTCTCTTCCTAGTTCTGAGCCCAGAGCCAAGCGGAGCAAGAACCAGCCCTTCTTCCCCATCGCAATCTTTCCTCACCCTTCTATTTCACCTCTTCTCTAAACCTAGCTGCCTTCTAGTTCCTTCTACTGAACTCAGAAGGACCAAGAAAGGTAGGCCCCACCTCCACCACACACAAGACAGGCATTCACCAAAAAGGACAGGATGAAGGGAGAATAGATTCCCTTAGGTTTAAGGCAGAAGAGCACTCAGGCTAAGCCAGCACCGTACCTGGGACCACAGACGTGAGAGCATTTTATGGGATAAGTTACTGTGTTAATGAAAGAAATCACAGTGACAATTATGCCCTCATTGCTTATCTTCATCCACTGAAAACTGTTTCTTAGGCTCTTATTATACCAGGCACAGCCCCGGCATTTGAGTCCCAGAGTGGGCACGTATCAGGGGCCTTGGAGTTTCCTGACGGGCTTGGTCACAGAGCCAGAAACCCACGATTTCACATCCTTCTCAACCTGTAACTCAAGTGACAGGAGAGCATATTGGAGTGGGTCAAAGGAGTGGGTCCCCAGCACTTGGTATCCTACAAACACTTCAGACTCAAGACAGCATCCCTTTCCCTAGCCGGAGCATGCATCTCCCAGATAATTCCACACACCCAGGGAAAAGCGAACGTATGAGTGTCCTCCTTAGCAGCCTGACACGAGGGCTTATCTCCTGTGAGCTGACACACAGCTTCCTAATCCAGGGCAAGCAATGCTTACATGCTTCCCAGTCATGGGACCTGCAGATCTTCATTATAGGGACGTGGAATCTCTTCCTAGAAGCAGAGGCTCTCTCAACTGGGGAAAAGCATTCCCTCAATCTCTAAGCTTCACTGCAGAAAACAAGATTATCTTTCCTTTAGCCCAACTGGCTACAGAATGAGATACACGAATTATCTGAATAGTCTGACTAGTGATAAGTTTACTCCTTCCCTTAGTTTACAAGCACTGTCAAGTTGTCCCACTCTCTTAAAAAAAAAAAAAAAAAAAAAAAAAAAACTCCTTTTCTCTTGAGTTAGTTTCTTCACTGCCCACTTTTCTCTTTGCCAGAGTCACCATCATTCCTTGCCACCTAATCCCATAAAATCTGGTTTCCACTGTGAAGACCCTGGGGTCTCGAAGTCTCAAGGGGCTTAAGGTGCTTCATTCCCAAATCCCCTCTTGATTTGTTTCCAAAATAAAAGAGAATCTTTTCTTCCCTAAAAAAAAAAAAAAAAAAAATCTGGTTTCCAGACCTCAGCACTCACTTGAATGTCCTCTCTCAAAGTTCACCAGTGACTTTCTGGTGTTTTTCTCTCTTCAAGTCCACCTGGATCTTCCCAAGACTTATCATGAGGATGGGCCCCCATCTTGGAAACACCCTCCTTTTATTTCGATGCCCTGTATGCTCAAGGTTCTTTCTCCTAATTCTTGAACATACTCTCCCTCCTTGCTAAATATGACCACTCCCCAAGAACATATCCATAGTCTCCCACCTTTCTAGTCTCCCACCTTTTCCAATCCCATGTAAGCCCATAGCTTTGACTCCACCTTTGGGAAAAGACATTTCTGATGCCCGTTATCTTTTGCCCTGACTCTCTTCCCAGCTCCAGGCCTTAGCCCACCTACCTGCAACCCTGTCTCCCCACAGAAATCCTGCCAGACCACCAACAAATAGGCCCAAACACTTCTTCATACACCCTCTAAAATTCCTGTCCTATCTCACCCTCCTCATTCCTGTGGCCACCACCCACCTTCAGGTATGTCCTCCCTTCTCTAAATAGCCACAGTCCTTTGCTTCACCCCTCATCACAGACAGTGCACTCTGGTCATCTGCTGACGGTTGTCCTCTCCCAGGCTAACCTATAACCTCTCCTACTTCAGGGCCAGTCCCTTGGCTCTGCGTTCCACAGTGCTTTGCACACAGTAGGTGCTACAAGAATGAATGAAACTATCCTTAACCACCATACCTCCAATGAACAAAGTATGTTAATGCTGTAGTAGGCACTTCACTTCCCTCCAATGTTCTCTTATCATCTTTCACTCTGAGCAGCTATGTACCAGGTACTTAGCTAGACATGGCAGACATAGCTGTTACTAGTACTACTACTACTACTGTTCCACTGGTGTTACTACAAATACTACTGCTCTTCCTATCACGGATAACAATGGACACTCAGTACTTACCATGTGTCAGGCACCGTGATAAGTATTTATGGGGATCATAGCATTTAATCTTAACAACTACCCTATGAGAGAAGTAACATTTCCCCCCACTTCACACATGGGGCAACTAAAGCAGAGATGAAAGCTGAGTGACTTCTCTGCCTTCAAGGAGCTCTTTGTTCAGCAAAGCAGGACAGGACCTGGACACACGGTTACAACGTGCCAACTGTTGTGAAGGAAAAGCATGGGATATAATAGGAGTGCATAACAAGGAGACAGAACTCAGGCCAAGTGCCATGGACACTTTCCTGAAAAAAACCATGCTTAAGTAGAAATCTGAAGGACAAAATCAGAACAAGCCAGCAAAAGAGGAAGAAAGAACAGACTATTTCAAGAGGTTGCCCTGAGCCTGCCCTGGGAACTCATGGTCCCACAAGAGGCTGGGCACTGATAATAGAAAAAAATGCTTTCCTAAACAGAGCACCCATCCCCTACAACCGTCCTGTGCACTGGAAAGGGAGAAAATTGACTTTGGCCTGCCTGGGGGGGGGGTGGAGACTAGGGCTCCCCTACCAAGCATAGGTCCTATTTTCCATTTACATTTAAATATAGGACGTTGAGATGCAGTATAATCAAATCCCTATGGACTCCCACTTAAAAAAATCCTTGGGGTGGCATATTTTTTAAAGAATTTAACCACTAAGTATTAGCAAAATATAATGATAATCTGTATGGTAGATCCCAATTCACCAAAAATGCAGAAACCTTCCCAGAATTCCACAAGAAGAGTTGTATACCATCAAGTCAAAGAGATTTTGCCTCAAAGAGAGACAGTAAGTACAATCTAAGGGTCATAAGTCCTTTAGCCAGCTCATGCAATGGGGTTACCCTTTCTTCAAATTATTCAATTAGAATCATATATATATATATATATATATATATATTTTTTTTTTTTTTTTTTTAATTTGCAACCAACTGAGATGCAGCCCCCTGGTGTTTTTCAGATTTTTTTTTCTTTTTTTTTTTCATTGCCTGCAACAAAACAGAATCATCCAAGCCCTTTCTTGTCGATCTAAATTCTCTGTGTCTCCTTTACCATAGCTCCAATGTACTATAAATATACAGCTTTTGTGACATAAATGCAAAGTTTTATTGTGCCGTTAGCCTTGATAGAAGGCACTGCAGAAAGTTGTTTAGAAATTAAATATCTAAAACAAGCTATTTTAAAATCCAGGGCCCTCACTATTTCATGTCTGCAATGAAGAAATTTCATCTTGGGGAGAGCAAGCTGTCTTTCACACCATATGGCTAATGGTGGTGCATAGCAATTAGCCAGGCTGATTAATGGTGAACAGACTCTAATTTTATGCTTATAATTGAGCCTGCATTTGCACCCCCGGTGCAAATTCAGCACATCCCAACTTCCACTTACAACAGGCAAGAAATCAAGAGAAATAGGATGGTGAGGAAAGTGAGAATTTTTTTCCTGAAGCCCCCTAAAGAGCATCAGATTTGCAATTTAAAAGACTGTTAGCCACACAATAGATGACAGGTTTGTGTAATAGGGTCATGGCGGCCTGGTAAACAAACAGTACCCCTTACACATCTACAGGCAGCCAGGAAAACCGTAATCTGTAACATTAGCAGGATGACATTTTGAATATGGCTTTTCCCTCTTAGCCACACAGTACAAACATCATCATTTGCCTTCAGTGGCTTGAGAATTTTATTTTTGCTATTTTTATGTTTCTGAAAAATAGAAAGAACGTCAGCAGTAGAGCACACCAACCGGCATAATAAAATACTTTGGACCAATGAATTTTAAAAACAAGAAAAAATATAAACTGCGTTAATAGGGGGTAGGCTTATGTGTGAAAGGCATAATATATCTTTAAGTATTTCAAGAATAGAATTATTTCTAGCATAGTCCAAACATGTACAGATATGAGATGCAAATCTATGATACATAGACATTAGTTGGCCTATTGTTTGAGATCCATCTTCCTGCCTGTCCCCTATTTGCTAGAATCCCATGTAATAGAACATGGAAAATTCATTCTAATGACATGCTAATTGCGGGAAGCTAAAATAAGAGATATGATCAGAAAAATAATAATACAAAGGAGGTCTTTTTTTAATGCTTTTCAAAATGACTTTACCCATTTAATTCTGGAAAGTACAACTCAGCTTTAATGGTATGATCATTGTATACAGTACACTAATTTTTGCCTAATAATATCTTCCAAGAAACCGGTGACTGTATTTTCTGCTACTGTATTTTCTGTTTCAAAGGTAAGGAAAGGCTACCTGCTTGTGGGATAATTACCAAGTTTTACAAATCGCTGAAGTGAAAACCTGTGAAACTCCTGAGGAATTTAGAATACTCTTTTAAAAGTATGCTTTTTAAAAAGGAAAAAAAAAAGAAAACTTTATATACATACATAATTAGAGATATAGAAGTTAATATTTGAGATTTCCCGAAGAAAACACATTAAGCCCTTTTTATTTTATTCCCACCTGTGGAGCTTAAAGATTGCTTTACCCACAAGTCCGGGAGCAGCAGATAAAGCCCACCCACGCAGAAGTGGCAGCGGAAGCCTAAAACGACTGGTCAGTAATAGTCAGGAGCCAAGCCTGCTTTGTGCCAGGGAAAGCCTGCATGGCTAACAAAGCAATTAGTAGCCTTTCCCTGATGCATAGTGGCATTTTCATGCTTTATCCAATTACTCAGAATATATCAGGTGTTATTCTAGAAAGAATAAGAATCCTATACTGCAAGTTTAAAGGCTGTCCTCTGGCCTACTCTCTCACATGTGGAGGACTGGCTGGGGCCATGAAAGGGAATTTGGTTTGCTGGCTTGGTTTCCAATGTGGCTTGCGTCTGATTACAGGCAAAATAAATACACCTGTTTGTGGATGAGATGAATTTTTATAACTTTCAGGTGTAAACATTTGCCATCCTTCCAAAAGCTCACTGCTATGGAGAAACATTAGCTACATCATCACAATTACATACAGGGTAACTAAGATTGACAGATCAGAGGCAAGGGAAGGGGGAAACCCACACTCAATTTAAGGAGGAATGATGCCTTTGTACCGATGGTCACATTTTTAAGTGGCAGAATTAAAAAGGGGAACTATAACATTCTCATCTTATCCAGAGGCTTCTGTTGACATCAGTAGAACTCTTACTCATTTTACTAGCAATGCAGTTGAGCACATACATTAACACTAAAAGGATATATTGTATTTTATTCGATTGAAAGGAAGAAGGGGAGGGCTCTGTTTTGTGGCCATTAAAAGTGTGATATCAAAATGGAAATGTTTGTCTTTCAGGATGAAATCTAATAAATAATCAAGAACCACTAGATGTCTGTGAGCCTTACTACCAAATTCTCCTTTTTAGATTATCTAATAGAAGTAAGATAAATATATACCCAACAATCAATCTGAGCTCACCTGGCTTTGAGATATAAATTCACTTTCTCTTTGCTAATTAAAGGAAGAGAGCAAGGTATTTCTTACCTGCACATGATCTCGTGTGTGAGCAAGACTCGGCACATTTCTGGGTTCTTGTCTTGGCCTTCATACACTATGGCCTGTAAACAAAGGCATGATTTGAGCTAAAAATGGAACCACGTACCAGAGAACGAATTCTCGCAATTGAAGGCTTGAGCACTTCAACATCGCTGAGGGCCAGTTAGCTCTTGGGAGCCCAAGACCTCACGGAGCTGACTGCTTCGAGATACATTGTTAAGGATCAACCCAAATCAGGTAGAGGGCGTATGTTCCTCTCTGTCCCATCAACCAAATTCTTATGACACACACCTTTGGATCAGTGTGTGAGATGAACTTCTGTTGTCAAGACAACCACAATTCTCCTTTCAATTCAGAATAACATGAATCTAATCAATGAGGAGGAAAAACCCAGGTTTAGCAGATTCAGATGCTAGTGATTTAAAATATAGAAAAGCACGTGGATCTGACTTTTAAATATGCATTCGTCACTTCATTTTACTACTTCCAGCCCCAACATTTAGTGTTCTAGAGATGAGTAGCAGAAAACAAGTGGGGGTATGCTTAATGAGTCTGTTCACTAACTGTGTCTTTGAGATGATTCATCAATCAGGGAAAATCCTTCCTCCCGCCTACACGCTGAAAACATGTGCTCTCCAGGGTGTACACCCACCCAAACATTAATACGCACGGGCATATGCCATGTGTGTGGGCTTAAGCCATAGAGTTATCTTCCTAAACTGCGAAGAATTACACGTGACTCCCAAAATTTGGACTTCAAACCACCTCATCAGCCAATACGTCTTTGTCTGTTGTCAGTAATGTGCATACAAACATTTTGCTTAAAATCACCCTGAAGTTTCCCTGAGACGGCAGCTTCCTGGAAAATCCACACGTTAATACCTGGGCCAAAGAAAAACACAGCCATTGGCAGAGCAGTGCTCTACCTCAGGATACATTTTAACTAACTTAACACTGTATCACTGCATAATACAAACACAGCTTCAAATTATTAATAAAATTATTTTCACACGTTCAGATAACTCTCAATTTCTTGGTGACAAAACTATTTAAATGAACCAGAGACTATCCTTATTTAGTACACAGAAATGCTGCAGTAACTAACTTATACTTGGCTCTAATGTGCTTTGTTTATAAACCTGGGACTTTTAGAACCTGTAAAGGATCAAGATAGCTTAAGACACAGTGCATACAGACCCTAGGGCAGGCTCTAGGTATGAGAACTAATTCCATTACAGAACAAAAATTGCAACAAATAAAAACATGATGTAAAGTACTTGTATAAGGAGAAAACCTTTCCCTACCACAGGCCCTTCAAAACCATTTTTTATGGTTAGCCTTCCATAACTCTGTATTTTTTAATGTTTTATTTTGACACAGTTTTAGACTTATAGAAAAGTTGTAAGAATATATAAAAAATTACAAGATAGTCTTTAAACACATTCCTCAAATGTTTACACTTTACTAAATCTGCTTATTCTTTTCCATTTTTTCCTGAACCATTTTTAAGTGAACTGCAGACATACTCTAAATATTTCAGCATGTATTTCCTTAAAACAAAGAATTATCTTCCTTAACCACAGTACAATTATCTGAATTAGAAAAGTAGCACTATAAAATAATCTAATCTACAGACTTTATTGAAATTCACCAATTACCCAATAATGTCCTTCACAGCAATAAATAAATAAGTAAACAAAAATTTCATAAGTCCAGTATCAATCATTGCATTCAGTCATCATGTCTCCTTTAATACAAAACATTCCTGAGTCTGTAGTTCATGATATTGACATTGTTAAAGAATACAAGCCAGTTCTTTTGTAGAATATCCTCAGTTTGGGTTTGTCTGATGTTTCCTTGGACTTAGACTGAAGTTACACAATTCAGGGCCAGAATACCACAGATGTGATTCTGAGTTCTTCTCAGTGTATCAAATCTCACTGTCAGCTACATCCACTACAGGCAGTAAGCTCTGACCATTTGGTTAAGGTGGTGCCTGCCATCCACCAGAGATCATTAGCCAGATCTCCCCCTGTGAAGCTTCTACTTTACTTTATGTAATTCATAACTCTCCTATGGAGAGATAATCTGAATTATAGTAATGTCATATTATCCCTAAAATTTTCATCCACTAGTTTTAGCCTACACAGATGATTCTTTCTTGTATTCTTAAAAGACCTTTTCAAATACCCAAGAAGTCGCTTTATTCAAGAAAATGTTTCGAGTGAATCAAAAACATTTTGAAAACCAAAAATTATATCTGACTGCTTTATTTATTGAGATCACTGCTGAAATCAAAGGAACATTGTAAGTAACAGATTAGGTCCCAAATATGGTGCTAAAAAATTCTAATCATGCATTTTTGTGATATCCTATTATCACTACATGTTTTGGACATTCTCTTAATATCCCTGATAACCTCTGTTTCAACTCCAGTTTTTTGTCGTGCTAAACTAATACAAGTACGTGGTAAATATATTCGCAGATATTGGTAGGGTTTTCTTTCCCGTAAAAAAATAAGTGTTTTGATTTGTTTGTTTTTTTAAGAGGAATGTGTATCAGTTACATCAGGCCTTCTCACTCTGATTGTTTCTAGATGATATTATTTTTGTTGAGGCTGCTGATTCCACCGAAATAAGTGGATCCATGATGATAGTCAATGAAAGATACGTCACAATGCAGATATTCTCACGACTCCCCTAAACAGGAGATGATCCAAGGATGCCCAGGGATCCCAAGCTTTTATCTTTAGTCACCACATATCATTTGTGGAAGGCCCAGGGCCTCTGTAACAGATCTCTTCACCAAATGCCAAACTGCCACTTTGCTCAGGCAGCAGTCAAAAAGAAGACTCCTTCTCTAAATCAAGCACAGAAAAATAAAAGCATGAGTTTGGATTTGCTCAGAAATAGGAATTCTGAAGAGAAGTAAATGCCTAAAGTTTTTGCTGTCCCTCTTTTTGAGGCCCCAACAGAACAATACTTTTTAGCACATACACAGAGAAAGAAGGACTACTTCTGTGACTTCTAAAATAAAAGCAAGAGAAACCGGGAATCTTTTGACTTTCCTATGAAGTATAGTATATATATACTCCTGGGAGTATAGTAAGCTAGAACCTCAGTGCAACAGAATCAGCTCCAGAGTAGACCTTGGTCACAGGCAGATCTACCTCCAACCTTACCTACGCAGTATTTGTTACTGAAAAGCCTTCTTAAAACAGACACACACACACACACACACACACACACACACACAAAATCACATAAAAGATATGGGCCAAGAAATCAACATTCCGTTGAGATCTAAAATGGGGAAATATGATAAAATTATTTTGCTGAATCTCCCTGAAGAAGAATGTCCACAATAAAACAGACTTCTTAAAAATGTCCCAAAGATCTCCGTCCAGCTTACACACAAAACCAATGGCCTCACATCCGTCCTCTACCGTGCACATCTCATACACTCGTCAAGATGGCTTCACAGTTCAGCAAACCCAGACTCGAAGCCTAAAAGGAAAGGAATCTTCTAACACCAACTTAGAAGTTTCTGCTTTTCTTACTAATTTAAATATGGACCTCTGTGCGTTGTGAATAAAGCTCCCTGAGACAGGATCAGCTGGGAGATCACAGAAGCATATAAACAGCATTGACTAGTTTAAGTGAAACCATTTTAATAGACAGCTGGTTTAGGGCCCAGACAATGGAACACCAAGAAGAAGGCTTATTTTCATCCTCCCTAGTAAATCATGCGTCTGCTCACTGTGAGGAAGGTAGTCTGCTGTGAGAGCGACAAAGACAACAGTGGCTTAAATAAATCAATGTGTTTATCAGGAGTAAGGACCAGAGGCCTGTTACAGACATGGGCAGGCGGGGGAGAGAAAACATATAAAATGCATTATTTAAATAAATGAATTGATGCCAAAGCAAGTTCAGGTTTTAACCTAAGAAATAAAAAATACAATATCAAGCATAAAACAATATGGACCTTAATTCTGCCAATGCCAATTATATCCCTGAAGGTGGCAGGAGTACTTGTGCAGGAAGAAAGCTAAAAGAATACACAGCCCTAATTTCATCTCAACTTTCAAAACCTGGTGAAATTGATAAAAAAAAGTTGTCACAACTTGACCTATGTGGAGCAGACTTAGTTTCCTGATATACTAGCATCCCTTTCCTTAATGTCCTCTCCTCATAAGCACAAAGACAATATCGAAGTCTCTCCATTGATTATCAGATTGAGGGTTTTTTCCAGAATAATTTTTTAGAATTAACAAAAATGAGGAAAAAAATAGGAATTCTTAAACTTACATACCCTAATGCAACAGCAGTACCTGAAGTTTTACTGTGAGAATAAAACACCATCAATTTCAAATGCCCAATTATAAATCCACCTATACTGGTCTTCAAAAAGGAATAAATCAATCTATCAAGAAAATCTGCCTCGGTGACCACTGTTTTAGATGGCATCTTGTAAAGTGTGGTTCATCACTCCTTTTCCAAAATATCACTGGGTCTTAAAAGTTAATTGAAACTTACTATGGATGAAGACCACACAGAAAAGACAGAAAAACACATAGTGCACATGCACCAAGATCACACTTCAATAGGATGCCAAAGGAAATACAGAGAATTGAGCATGGCCTTTCTTTGTGTACTCTTCTAGTAGTTTTAACTCTTTATGTTCTAAGCCAAAATAAAGAGGGCAAGGAAAATAGTTTTGACTTTGGTTCTTCAAAATCCAAAAGGGTTTTAGGAACAAATGTTTTCATTAGGAGACTTTTTGGTTTATAACCAAACAATAGGAAACTTGTCATCGGAAGGAAGGAAGGAAAGAAGGGACAGAGGGAGGGAGGGAGGGAGAGAGGGAAGAAGGAAAGAGGGAAACAGAGAAAAGGAGGGCAGGAGGGAGAGAGGGAAGGAAAAAAGAAAAAAGAGAAAGAAAGAGAAAAAGAAAGAGAGATGGGTTATCCATAACTAACAAAAACTCTTCATTTTCCACTTAAGTAAAAGCAGTACCCTTGAAAATATGTTACTTCTTTTTCTACATACAAAATAAAGGCCAA